AATTTCTGGAGCATCACCATCCGAATGCAAACCATTGCTTGCTGCCACCGGTGTCGGATTCACGTTCACTTGCACCTAAAAAATACAAAAGTTCCGATCAGCAAAACTATTTCCGCATCTAATTATCATATTTCTCCCAGTCTAGCTATTTTCTGCTGACAATAACAGTATTACATTTCAGCTGAGAATTGAACTTACTGCCATTATAACAGAGATTGCAACGGAGAAATCCAATTAATGAAGTGCATTTTCTAGCGGCTTGGGCCAATACTCTCCAAAACTTCTAGCCAGCAAAGTGCCTTGTTGGGTCCGAAAGTTGAATTGACGACGAAGACTAGGTAGTCGAAGTGACGCAGAAGAATAAGCAGATTTATCCATCACACGAGATTAGCCAACGAACGAACAACAAACCAACAAAAGCTGGGATACTTATACAGGGAGTAGAGCACAATAAAAAACACTAAACGTCGCAATCCGATATATATGGAATCACAAAGAACATTACAGAACATTCTGCAGAACAATCTATAATGGAGATCTCCCTAGAACTTTCGAAGATCATGATCAAAGATCGAGGTCTCAACATGCCTCATCGCGGTCCAGAAGTGGTAACATTCAAGACGAGATTATGTTGCTTAATGCATGTCAATGACATTTCGGAACGGCTAAGACCTAGCCAAAGTGCTTCTGTCGGGAGAATCTTTCAACAGTTGATCCCGAAAGAAAAACCGGACGGTAGGACTGTCAGCAGACTGAACCCCCAGGCAATGCAGCACTGGTCAAAATAAGTGGAGTAGTCAGGTTGAAAATTTCACAGTACCGAAGATTTTCAAATTGTCGAAACAGAACGGCCGTAGCACCTCTTCAACACCAATATTTTGAACGTAAGGATGTGAATGTGGTTAACAACGAAAGCAGAAGAGGTAACGCTGACTGTGATTGAGGTAACGGTGGAGCGAAAGATGCTTGGAGTGTCTCTTCGTGGCTGTATAAGCAATCGGACTCTCCGTCAGATGAGCAACGTGCAAGGCCAGCGCTGCGACCACGCGAGAAAGTGAAATCCGATGGGCAAAAATGCTTCTTGTTTTGCTGCCAATCAGTAGTCGTCCCGTACTAATGTTTGGTACCGCAAGAAAGTAGACGATCATTTGAACGACTCAAAAAAAGTGGTGCACAGTAGTCGAATAGACGGTTTTTCCAACGTGCAGAAGCACCTCAGCAACAACAATAACATGGGTTACCTACATCTATCGTCCAAGAAGTTCTCCGATAAAATATGTGTGCATGTTTATGCGCTGTGTAAAAAAAAAAAAAAGATGGAAATGGCCGTCTAGGGTCGTATTCTTAACATTTACTCAAAGCAGGAAAGGAATTTTTCTACAAACTTGATTGGTATCCTGCGATCTTCCTGGGCGATTGACCGTCCCAGCGCCACCCATGCCAGCACCAAAATATGCAACAAACGATTTTTCGCGATCACGTAGAGCCAGTTGAGCCTGACTTTTCGGTAAGCTGTTCACTCCGGATGGATACTGTAAACATCTTTTTTGTATTGGGAGCAAATAACCAAAACATTCCAAGATAATACAATTACGTGAAAACAAACACACACACAAATATGCAGTGGCGCCACGAAAACTGCAGTGCATCCCCAGTGAAACCCTTGGCAGCCCCGATATGCAATCCTGCCTTAGCCAAAATACTGTGAAACTGCCACTGAAAAAGGCAATTCTTCCAATGTATCATGATGAATCATATTCTTTGTGGCTATCCTCTCAGGTGGGTTTGTTCAGTGCTGCACAAAATCATGCCCATGCCCTATTCGATGAATGGCTGGAATACGAAGTTTGAATATAAAGATAACTATCTTTCACGCATTCTTTAGCTGAAAGCTTGCATACACAGAAGAACTACAGCCTCCCAGTTTCCCAGATTGCTGAGTTGAAGATTGGCTTCTGCGCAAACACACACCAACTTTTTTGTGCATCTTAAAAGCAAACAGTTTTACAAATTGCTCGTGCCAGAATGATTTTGCTTCGCCAAAACCTTTACATTATGTCATTAGGCCTAGCTTTCAATCACTTTCCGTGAGAAGTCGAGAGTTCCCATAACCTAT